AAAAAAAAAAAAAATAGCAGCCGCCTGAAAAAATTTTTCCCACCTTTTTGGTAGGAAAAAAATTTCTTGGAAAACCTGGAAAATAGGCGCGTGGAGGGTGGGGAGGGAAAACATTTTCCGTGGAAAATTTCGCCTATCAAACAGTAAAAAAAGTGAAAAATGGAAAATATTTTCCTAGTTCCATGAAAAATTCCACTAATCAAACGAGGCCTAAGAGTTTGCCGACGAGGAGGAGGAGGATCTGATGATGGCTATGATCGACGATGAGGAGTTGAGGATGTGCATAGGCGATTAGAGAGGAGTGAATAGTATAAGCTTGAAGAAACCGACTAAAATCTAGGATTTGATTTTTTTTTTTATAAAATTAAGGGAAAATTGCAGCAGCGGTGGAGGTAGGTGCTTGGTGGGGGAACGACGGAGGTGGTGGTTTTTGATTTTTGGTTTTTTGGGAAGATGAACAATGTTTTCTTCTTCTTCTTCTTTTTTGACTTAATTATTTTGTTTTAGTTATTTTATATGTAAAATATAAAATCACCTTTTTACCCTTTTAAAATTAACATTTGGTCAAACTTTTGATTTTTGGTTAACAGTTAACTAACGGTCAAACTAACAGTTTTCATCCACTTGGACTCTAGTTGCGACACTTGGAAAAGTTTGGTATCGTGGGTGGTACAAATGAAATGTTTGAACAAAGTCTGCTACTTAATGAAAGGGTTGGTAACGCTATTGCAATTTTCCCAAAAACAAATTTAGGTGTAAAATACTACATTTAATTTTNCCGCCTGAAAAAAATTTTCCCACCTTTTTGGTAGGAAAAAAAATTCTTGGAAAACCTGGAAAATAGGCGCGTGGAGGGTGGGGAGGAAAAACATTTTCCGTGGAAAATTTCGCCTATCAAACAGTCAAAAAAGTGAAAAATGGAAAATATTTTCCTAATTCCATGAAAAAATCCGCTAATCAAACGAGGCCTAAGAGTTTGCCGACGAGGAGGAGGAGGATCTGATGATGGCTATGATCGACGATGAGGAGTTGAGGATGTGCATAGGCGATTAGAGAGGAGTGAATAATATAAGCTTGAAGAAACCGACTAAAATCTAGGATTTGATTTTTTTTATATAAAATTAAGGGAAAATTACAGCAGCGGTGGAGGTAGGTGCTTGGTGGGGGAACGACGGAGGTGGTGGTTTTTGATTTTTGGTTTTTTGGGAAGATGAACAATGTTTTCTTCTTCTGCTTCTTCTTCTTTTTTGACTTAATTATTTTGTTTTAGTTATTTTATATGTAAAATATAAAATCACCTTTTTACCCTTTTAAAATTAACATTTGGTCAAACTTTTGATTTTTGGTTAACAGTTAACTAACGGTCAAACTAACAGTTTTCATCCACTTGGACTCTAGTTGCGACACTTGGAAAAGTTTGGTATCGTGGGTGGTACAAATGAAATATTTGAATAAAGTCTGCTACTTAATGAAATTGTTGGTAACGCTATTGCAATTTTCCCAAAAACAAATTTAGGTGTAAAATGCGACATTTAATTTTTATTTTATTATTTTTTCTAAGGAAAAAAAAAAGCTCAAACACAAATTTACCTCGGTTAAATTAGTTTTAACAATTTCAAGAAATACAGTGGAGCAAAGTCGTATGTACCCAAACCTTAAGAATTAGGACTTAAAATGTTGTCGTACAGAGACTTGCCACTCTAGCCAGCTCTGCAAAGGGTTTTTCTGTCTAGGGTTTATCATTCTTTCTTCTTAGCTCACGGTGGTGGGAACAGAACACTTTATATCCACTTATACCTATCAAATTTCCCCGGAATTTACTCTGTCTGACAACTTTTCAAAATCTCTACTTATATTCGAAAATTTTATTTTCCTTTCAATTTTCGAATCCCGATGAAAAATTAAACAACCTATTTCAATTTATTTATATATTTAGTTTTTTTTTTCCCAGTTCAATCGATGTCTTTAGCTAATGTCATGCACTTCTATTCCTTTGAATGAATTTATTTAATAAGTTTATTGGGTCAAAGCTCAATTCTTGAGTTTCTCAAGAATGAGTTTTTGTACAGCGTTCTTCTCTACGAAAATCCCCATTAGGAAAAGAATGTGCCTTTTGTACCAGTTTACGAGCGTTTCCACTTCTTGTGCTGCTCAAGTAGAGGACTCTTCTTCTGACGACAGCGCTGCCCCGGAGACGAGTTATAATGAGCTGCAACAGAGAATGCAGATGCATGCAGCCTCGGGAAGCATTGTGAAAGCTATCGCGTCTTTAAATTTAATGAAAAATGTGCCAGAAAAGCCGACTGTGTACGACTACAATTCAATGATTTATTGTTATTTCAAGTCAGGGTATGTTAAGATTGATGAATTGTTTGAGGTTTACATTGCGATGAAAAGATTTGGACCTAAACCAAATGCCTTGACTTTTAATACGCTTTTGAATGGGTTAATGTTGGTTGGGAGATTGAAAGAAGGAATTTTGATTTCACAAGAAATGATGGAGAGTGGGTTTTTGCCTTCATATACTGTTTTATCAAAATTCTTTAAGAAATTTTTGAATCTAGGAAGTGTAGTGGAATCTCTTACAGTACTTGAAATTATGTTGGGGCTGGATTATATTCCTAGAAAGCGTGATATGAATGCCTTGATTCATGGTCTTTGTAAAGTCGGAATGATTGAACAGGCATATGTTGTGTTATTGGCACTTTTAGGGAAGGGATGCTTTTGCACTGCACATTTATATAGTCCCATTTTGTGGGCATTATGTAAGTTTAAGGACAAAAACATTGCAGTAGCATTTCTTGGTTGGTTAAAAAAGAAGGGATTTGTATGTAATGTTTACTCGTATACTGCTCTTATTTATGGTTTCAGTAAGGACAGGTTGTGGGACAAAGCTTTTCATTGTCTCCAAGAAATGGAAAATGAAGGTTGTAAACCTAGTGTGATAACTTATACTATAATTGTTAAGTTTCTCTGTGATGACGGAGATGTTGATGAGGCACTAGGCCTTTTGGAAAAGATGGATGAGAAGGGATGTAATCCCGACTTGGTTACATACAATATAATCCTCCGTGAACTTTGCCTTCAAGGTAGGACAACTGAAATTGATGATCTGTTTCAAGTTATTGATAGAAGGGGTTTGTCACCTGATATGTATACCCATTCGGCTTTGGCTGGAGGCATGTTAAAAAGGGGAAAAATAGAAATTGCGAATAAGCTAGTGCTTGATATTATTTTAAGAGGCTGCTCTCTAGATGCTGTAGTTTATAATATATACTGGCATTCTCTGGCTTGTGATGGTAAATCTAGAGAGGCTTTGTCTATGATGCAGAGTATGAAAGAGAAGGGTTTTAGACCAACCAATGTAACATACAACACGATTCTGAAAGGATTATGCAATGAAATAAATATTGATGAAGTTCTACAGTTCTTTGACTGCTTCGATTGGGCCACAGGCGGGCCAGATTTGATTTCCATCAATACAATTTTGTCCACGGCATGTAAAGAGGGAAATTCTTCAATAATAAGGAGGATTTTGTACCGGATGGAGTATGAAGGAATTAAGCTTGATGTTATGAGCTCAACATCTCTTATTCAGTATTTCTGTACAATTGGGCAAATCCCAGAATGCTTTAAGCTTTTGGATTCCATGACAAGTAAGGGTCCTCAACCTAATACTATGACCTTAAACACTCTCATGAGTGGCCTCTGCAAAAATCGATTGCTTGGTATTGCAGGAAAAATATTCAGCTATTTCAAAAGCATTGGGATTTCACCTAATACAACTACATATAATATTTTAATGCGTGCTTCCATACGAGAAGGCAACGATTTGCTGATGATTAAGCTCTTAAAGGATATGTATAGCCAGAAATTGAAGCCAGATGTTGACACCTATGGTTGTTTCATTTATAGCTTTTGTAAAGAAGGCAAGATATTACTTGCTCTTCAGCTTCGAGACCAATTATTTGCCAATGGAATTACTCCTAACATTGTGATTTACAATACCATATTGGAGGCCATGTTTAGGAGAGGAAATTTTTGGGAAATCATCTCATTATTGAAACTGATGGCAATGGATTGCTGTGAACCAAATGCATATTCTTTGGAGATAATGGGACGAGCCATGAGAAAAGGTTGGATGAAAGGATTCCCTAGAGCAACAAAAGTTTTAGAGACCATCATGTGTGGTAATTGGTAATGTGAGAATGCAAAATATCTCAGAGAGATTCATGGATATTGATGAAGAAAGTGGACCTTATTACAATTGCTTCGTTGTGAAACTTCCAGGAGCTCTCGCTGAGATTATGATTTGTCTGGAAACTGAGTTCTTTGCACTCTGCAACAGGTACTAAATTTCTTAATAAAATGCATAGTTGGTATCGCCATAATTGTGCTTCACGAGCATTTGTACATTCCCAGATTATTGCTACTTGATTTTGAAGACTTGATAAAACTTAGAAAAGCCTTCATAATTTTTGGGTAAAATTGTGAATTTCGTCCCCAACCTTCAGCGAAAGTTGTGAATTTCTAGTTTTTTGTCCCCCCATCTTTGGGAAATTAGCAGATTAAGAACCTCTTCACAGTTTCGTCTAAATTAGGTGTTAAGTCGAGTCAGCTGACCTACACTTGACTTTTAACGAAGTGAAAATGGTCCAACTACTAAATATTTATATTTTATTAAACAACAAAAGAAAAAGACTAAAACAATACAAAAATATATAAATAAAAAAAGATCAAAAAAGGAAAAGAAATAGAAAAAACATTTTTTTCCTTAACACCACTCCCCATACCGTGTAACCAGGGGAAGTCCCTTGGTGTTTTACGCAACTAGGGGTTTTCCCCTGGTTTTGCGGCCGCATCCATGAGAAACCTGGGGGTTAACCTATTGGCACTAATGCTGAATTGGTGGCGGTGGATCGTGGCAATCACATATATCTTCACCTAGCCTGAAAATGTGAGGAAGACAACCTTTTTTCTCTTTCTTCTTTTTCATTTTTTTCTCTATTTATTAATCATTTTTTAATTGTTACGCATTTAGTGCTTGGACCATTTGTGGCCTCATTATAAGTCATTTGCATGACTGCGTGTTAGTTGACTTGACTTGCTGTCTCATTTGGACGAAATCATGAAGATGTCCTTATTATTCTAATTTATCGAAGGTTGGGGACACAAGGATAGCTACTCTGTCCAAAGTTTGAGGACTAAGCCCCTGTTTGACCCTTATTTTTTAAAATTCATTTTTTCTCAAACTCATTTGTATCTACACATTTTATGAGAACACCAAGTTTTATCGACTTTACAACCACATATTTCATGAACTTTTATCAAAATCTACTAAAAATAATATTTTTAGCCAAACCAAACAGAGGCTAAATTTTCTATTTACCCAAAGTTTTTCTAGGCACTGAAGTGACTCTTCTAAATACTCGTCCATATCAAACGTCACACTAGTGAACAAAGTAAATGCAGATTTTATGATTGGGAGCTAATTCTAAATTCCTTGGGACATCCAATATTCATTGATGGTCAGTATAAAAATAAGATAGTGTCTTGTTCTTGTATATTTTCATTATTCTCTTCTTTTACGGATTGTTAACAGATTTCTCCTAACTTATTCTCCTGAAAGTAATTTTAGAATCCTGCTGAAATTCGGGGCTTGGGATATTGCTTACCTAACTATAAAAAAAAAAAATTGATCACTTTTATAATGAATATTTCTTTTCTCATACAATTTTTTTTGCTATGAGATTTCAAGCCGCGAGTAGTGAGGATTCTCTTCTTGTAGACTTGTACAATTGATTTCTTAATAAAAAAGTGTGTATATATTGATTTCGGAGTGATGAAGAAAGTGTGCTTGAGTATCTATTTATTTAACTTTAATGAAGCCAAACATTCACTTAATTCTTGTTTGAGCACGGATAATTTATTCAATGTTCTAAGTCCAAAGTCGATTCTATTTAACAACCTTTTAGCGGCACACAACTAATTTAAACTACGACGTTCCTTAAAACAAATACATGAATCTAAATGGTTAGTAGTACCTCAAATTTAGCCACTACTTGGGCTCCATTTTCTCAAAAATTCATTTTTCCAAAACTCATTTTCAACCACACGTTTTTGTATAAAATAATTTTATATGTAAACCCAAAATTTTTCCTTACTTTTTAATCGCACATTCTCCAAAAAATCACTATTCCAAAACATATTTTAACCTAAAAATGGGTCTCAAACAAGGGCTTAATGTAGTTGACTCTTTACTATTTTTACTGTGTCACTCAAGTTATATTGGAATTTCCTTTCGGAGACCCTTAGCTTTATCTACTTTTATCTTGTTTTGTTGACATCGGATTGTTTTACAATATTTAGTTTAATGAATCATAAAATGCAAGAGTGTTTAAATTTCCAGTTTAAACAGTAATGGCACGAGGGGATCTGAACTATTTTATGAAAACTATATGGTGTCATTTTATGGATGTTCCACTGTGGCCTAAGTTAGTACTCAGCCCTTGGGCAGCTAATACTGATAATTTCCAAAATATGGGAAATCTCCTTGAAGGTATTATGCCCTTGCAATTTTTAAGATGCTTGAAGTTCCATTTAATATTCTTCATGATGTTTTGTTATAGCTTCCTTCATTTTATCAAACGTTATTTGTTTTAGTTCAGGGTTCCTCCTCTCTGTCTCTCCGTCTCACTTTTTTTTTTGTAGAAAATGGGTTTCAAGGAGAGGAAAAAACTGTTCAAACTTGATTGTTCAGTGCATTAAGCTTGATTGGCTAACTCCTCTTTGCTTGTCTTGCACAGTTTTTCTTCCATAATTTGAAGTTAAGGAACTTTATACCATCTGATTCGAGTTGACTCCAAGGAGATCAGAATATATTTTTTGTCTGCAGCATTATCTTTTTTCAATTTAAACATTGGTTTATGTTAAATGATGTAGCCTGTTTTGTAGGACCTCTTGGGATAGAACTCGTGAAGAGTTAAAGTAATGTCATTGAAGAACCTCTGGACACGCTTTTGCTTGTGCTGACTTCCCTTCAGGTTCAGAAGGAATAAAGATATTATCCTTCCTACTTTCACTGGGTAACTTTTCTTTTCTTGAATTCATTTGTTTAGCATGTTGAAAAATCTATCTTTTGCGGCAGAATTTCCAATCTTGTATGTTATTTTTTCCCTAGAATTTTATGGCTGGAAGGAATGATCTAGCACTTATCGTCAATATATCATCCTGTGTAGTGGTCCCATTTTGGAAATAACTATGTCAAACTCAAGTTATTTTTCTTAAACCTCTATAAACTCATGTTCAAATAATTTCATGTTTGCTGTTAAACTCAATCTTATACGAGGAACAGTGAAGCTTTCTCTGTGTTTGTTATCACCTATGTATCTTCGTTAAACTTAGATATTTTTCTCTCTCTCACTCTCTCTGTGTGCTTGCATGTGCGAAGAATATGGGGGTTTCTCCCCAATTTTCTTGTCAAATCAGTCTAAGAATTGGAGATACGTTCATATATATATATATATAAATGAATTAGGCAGAAATGTCCAGTTACAACAGTTCAAATATATCTCTATTTACAATTGAAGAGTTAAAAAGTCGCACCAAGATAATTACTTCCTTGTGTGGTTTATGAAATTTTCTTCGCACAACCTGGAAATTTAAACACTCTTGCATTTTATGATTCATTAAACTAAATATTGTAAAACAATCCGATGTCAACAAAACAAGATAAAAGTAGATAAAGCTAAGGGTCTCCGAAAGGAAATTCCAATATAACTTGAGTGACACAGTAAAAATAGTAAAGAGTCAACTACATTAAGCCCTTGTTTGAGACCCATTTTTAGGTTAAAATATGTTTTGGAATAGTGATTTTTTGGAGAATGTGCGATTAAAAAGTAAGGAAAAATTTTGGGTTTACATATAAAATTATTTTATACAAAAACGTGTGGTTGAAAATGAGTTTTGGAAAAATGAATTTTTGAGAAAATGGAGCCCAAGTAGTGGCTAAATTTGAGGTACTACTAACCATTTAGATTCATGTATTTGTTTTAAGGAACGTCGTAGTTTAAATTAGTTGTGTGCCGCTAACATTAGATGGAAGAATCATTTCCCCCTTTGTCTAGAATCCCTAACATTATTTGTTAGTTTATGCCCAAATCTGAATCCCTGAAGCAATATTGAATCGGCTGAAAAACAGAAATGCCCTCAAATTCATAGTGGCTCAACCTCAATTTGAGAGTTATGTCCACTTGCCTCTGCAGATTTTTTTATTTATTATTATTATTATTATTATTATTATTATTATTATATTGAAGGAGATTACAAGTTTTCCCTGCACTTCTATGTCTTGCCCGACTGAAAAATGCCCCCTCCCCCTCATGTTCCTTTATATAGGAAACTAGGTCCCACAGTCAAGCGATAAGTGAACAACACAATTGGGCACATTTTCCAACATTATCAATAATAAAAATTTTATTCTTACTGTTGTGTCCATTTACTTTACTAGTTATTAATGTAATGATTACATTTATAGTTAACAAGCTGCGGAATTCTATGGAAAGGAAAATTCATAACATGAATATGCCAGAGGCCTATTTAAGTTATACAAAATAATCAGATAATACAAGGATTTGTTGTCTTAGGCATTCACTTGCACTCCCGAGTCATATGTGTCGCTGGGTTTCCAGTTTTGAGGTATGTTATTGACTGGAACTACCCATGTCTCGTCTCCATTGTCGTCCCTAAATAACATCCTTATTGATAGAGATCCACTAGGTGGTGGGGTTGCTGTCCATACTGCTCCATACGTCCTATCGAGTAGCCTGCATTCAAAGTTTTGTGTCTGTACATTGTAATTTTATGTTAGTGCTTGGACCTAACTAGAAAATAAGTTCCGATATTACAAAGAAATATTGCTCACACGTTAAAAGATTGATAGATACCTCACATAGTTGCACTGCAGTTATATCTTTCCTGCCTTGTTGATACCAAATTACAAAAGCCAGGTAATGAGGGTTGTTGCTATTTTCGTCAATCTTGAATGTAATATTTCTGTTTGGGTAACTGCAAGGAACCCTTTTTTTTTGGAGCAATGAGGGTGTGGGGAACAAGAGAGAGATCTATGAGCGACAAAGTGTGTATTGAGAGGAAAAAAATGGATAATTAAAATTTTAAAATATGCTTCTTCCATGTATGAGATGCATGTATATGTAGGAAAATATTTCATAATAGATATGATCCCTAGAAAACTATCTTTTAGGGATTAGATGTTATCTTATAGAATTTATCCATCTTCATTTAAGCATAATAATTTTACCGTCTATATTCAATATCGACTATGCCAAGTGCTAAAAGAGATGTGGCTGCATCCGTATTCTGAGCCATTCGACCAAAGGCTCGCCTGCTCAAAATGAAGTCTGTATTGTGACTGGAACCACTGTCAGTTATAACCACAGTTACTCCTTTGTCTGAGCAATAGTTATTGTTGGTGCACCTCACCTGAAATAGAACAATACAGTTCACAATAAAATCACGACTTTATTATATGATGAGAAAAACTGGACGTTCTGCATGGTTGGTTAACGAACATCCATCTTGTATCACAATATTTCAGTTCCCCGAACGATAACTACCTGGTAGCAAGAGCCACATCCAACACCAGCTTGATAGAGATTTGATGCAGCTGATACATCTCCACCGTTAATCGTAGACCCAAATGTACCGTAACCACATTGCCCCGCTGCATTATTGTGATATACATTAGACTTCAGTTGCATATATTGATCTAATTACATCGCTGACATGCACATATTTATTTGTATATAATGTTGAAAATATAATATTTATGTATTACTACAAGAAAAAAGAGATGATATTGTATGCGAATTATGTCATTCGTATATTGACGAAATCTCACTTTCTGTTCCTTTATCATCAGAATTCGGGTAATAAGCTGCCCGAGAATGAACAAAACAATCTTGGCATGTATCTGCATTTCCCAGCGTATGCATGAAAAGAAAAGTTAAAAGGATCAAGAAAGATTGAAGGAAACTCATTGTATCGTTGGAAGCAGAAACAAGGTATGCAAAGAAGATAAGTTGGTGTGCATGAATTAAATGACCGTTGTGATATATATAATGAAAAGAACTTGAAGACCACCTTGGGTTGGTAAAATATTTAGACTTTTTCCATGAAACATCCTAGGCTCTTTTATATGCCTTTTGTCCTTCTTTGCAATTTAGTAGATTTCTTTGGTCTGGTTTATGGAATGTCAAATCTATACCATTACATAGTTTTTGAATTCAACAAGAAATATATGTAAACAATAAGAAGTCAGGCTGCATTCATATGTTACGGTATCTGCTGATTCTTATGACAATATTTTCTACATTTTTGCAGCTAGAATTCTTCAATAATAATTACTAATGACATCGAGGGAATATTTTCTTTGATTAGTATAGTCTGGTTTGAATGTGTAAATTGGCTAAATTTGGGTGCCAAATTGTTTGAGACCAGTCATTTTCTTGTTCTAAATATGCATAAAAGAATATGCTAAAACTTTCTCGTAGCAGAAGTAAAACTGAAGTTGCTAGAGTTAGGTCAGTTTGCACCTAAGGATGCAGCCAGCGTTCCACTCTAGGGGGGATCCATATGCATTTTTACATCTGTATCCATTCATTATCCAAATGGGAGTTTCAAATTTGGAGGGCTGTTTCACCTTTTCACCCCCACCCCTTTTTTTTTGTGGGATTTGGGGTTGGGGGTACCCTACCATTTGATTCAGATCAACTTAGCCTATGTTTGGCCCCCACTTTTACAAAAGCTCATTTTTTCAAAACCTATTTTCAATCAGACATCCCATTTTCAATCGGACATTCTCTCATAAAATAATTTTACACGTAAATCGAAAATCTTTCCTTCTTTTTTTAACAACACATTTTCCAAAAAATCACTATTCCAAAATACATTTTCTTACTAAAATGGGGCTCAAACAGGGCTTAATAAATAGTTTAACGATTTTGTTCTTGAAATATAGTGTTCAACCCTGAGGGGTTGCTCAATTGGTCAGGCATTGGGTTTGCTCTCCAATGGTCACCAGTTCAAGTCCCCTCAGGGCCACTGAGGTGAGTATCCGATCGTAAACTTTAGGGCCCCGTGGTATTAGTCCAGGTGTGCGCAAGTTGGCCCGGACATCCACGGTTATCAAAACAAAAAAAAAAATAGTGTTCTCTTGTACAACATTCTAATGATTTTTCTTGATTGGTTACACGTACTTTTTGGGTGATTACATTTGGTTAATTGCTAGATTCAGCTCAAAAGTAACGAGCTGCTTAGAAATTGCAGTATTATGTGTTGTTTGTCCAAGGGGAAATCTCAGTTTCTGTCCCTTTACCATCAAGAAACGTTTTTTAACATCTTTTGTTTAGTTTTGGGATGTCAAAACTACACACCATTACGTAGTGTGAATTTGAAGATAAATATTTAGTTATGTTCTAAGTCTGTTGATTCTCTTGACAAATTTTACTATATTTAAACATTTGTTGAACAAGAATTCCGCTGTAATGATTACTATGACATAAATGGCATATTTCTTTGAATAGTATAGTCCAGTTTTAACGTGTAAATTGGCTGAAGTTCTTATAAAAAAACTCGCTATTCAGTACTGTTGGACATAATTAGAGATGTTTCCTTTACTTTTTCCTTCAAAAATGATGTCTTTAGTGAAAGTAGACCCTTTCACGTTTTCTCGTCTGCTACGACGGGTATCTCTAAAAGTGTGCATTCTAATATTGGTTGTTTCAACCCCATCTCTAAAATAGAATTTTAAGGCGAAGGTGGTCGGGCTTATCGTAAGCCCAAAAGGCATTCTTTAAAGCATGTTTGGGAGTTGTTTATAAATATGGATAAACAGAAATGAATGGCGGATAAGTATGTAGAATTTTTTATTCTGATGAAATGTGTGAATAATAAGTTATTTGATATAAACAGCCGAGCATGTGCTTAACTTAGCTATGTCGATGTCGACTGGACCACGATTCAAGTTACGACGTCGGCCTCTTGGATGGAGAAAGAAACTAGTGGTTTTTGCCTAACGATTTCTTTTTCCAAATACGAAGTATTCTAAAATTTTCTTAGTATCAAAACCAAAATGGGAGTAGTTGAGTTAGGTGGGTTTGCACCTATGGATGCAGCCAGCATTCTACTCCATTCTCTATATCCATTTGACATTTTTTTTTTTACCGACAAAACCGTGCTCAAAATATTTGGAAAGCTCCTTTATTCTTTTTCTTTTGTTTTTTTTATCAATCACTCGATTCATTTTATCTACTCGAAGATTCAAAATGACAAAAATGTTTAGCAACTACATAAGACTACATTAATTTTACTCCTCTCTTTTTACATGTTCAATTGATTGCACTCGTATGGACAGGACAGGAGTCCATGTAACGAATATGTTTCGACCGATTGAGTCGTCCCCATCTTAATTTATCCTCGATCAATATCACTTGTTAAAATGCCTAGTAATCAACATATTCTCTGCGCTGTCGAAAATTTTCAAGATGCCAAAATAGACTGGCATAGAAGTGGGATGTTCCATCCCACATCAGCCATGACATGGAAACCATTTGAGAAAATGGGACCATACAAAGATTAATGGTCTTCTAGTAATTGGATGTTTTTCCAGGATGTTCATCAAGTTGGATACCACGACGAGGAGGTATCTCGGACCAAATATGCAGGCCCAGAGCACAAAAGACTTCTGATCTTGTTATGGTAACATAGTGGTTGACCTAAGGGATGACATAATTTGATAAAAAAACATAAATATTTTTCTTCTATTCTTTAGTCAAGTCAATGTTCT